CGTGGTGGCGCTGCACCACGGTACAGCGCGGCTCCGTGGGCTCCGGCCGCTGCTCGGCCTGGGGAGCCGGGGGCGCCGGTGTGCGAGCCGTGCTCTCCGCCGCCGTGGGGTAGCGGTACGGGGACAGCAGGTCCGGGAGAAGCCCAGGCGGCTCCCCCTCGGGCTGGGCTGGGACACCCCCGGGAAGGGGCGTGCGGAGGACGGCGGCCTCGGGCACCCCCTTGTACTTGATCTTCAGGGTCTTAGCGTTCCTGCGGTCCAGCCTGACGCCGAACTGCTGCTCCACCGCCTCCAGGGCCGTGGCGTTCAGCATTTCGCGGAATCGCTCGTGGCTCCGGGCCAGCGCTAGCGCGTTCGGGTGGAAGACCACGTCGTAGACTGTGTAGCGGGAGCCGCTGCGCCCTGCATACTTGCGGCCGGGAGCCAAGCTGTAGGGCAGGGACCAGTGGCTGCCAGTGGCCGTGCCGCCGCTCCCCGGGCCCGGCCGGCTGCTGGGCGCGCCTACCAGCGAGTTGCTGCACACGTTCACGAAGCAGCGATGCTCCCCGTCCAGGCTGGTACGCAGCACGTGGCCCGGCTCCGGGTGCACGAACCGCACCTCCACCCCACGCTCCCGCTCCAGCGCTGTGATCTCCTCCTCGTAGCGTCTCCGGTTCTCAGGGTCGGTGATCTCCGAGGCGTACTCGGAGAACATTCGGCGGAACTCTGGGTCCTGAAAGGCGGAGGTGAGCCTCTGCACCTCCTCTCCGCTCAGATCCAAGTCCTCTAGCGCTGAAGAGGCCGTCGCCTTGGCCATGGTGCCCCACTCGGCCCCTCAGCCGGGTGAAGGATCAGCCTGAACTGGGGTGTCTAGGGCGCGCTTGGCGTCTGGTGTCACAAGTGACCAGCCTTAGGAAGGTAACGGCTGGATAGCAGGGCATCGCGTGCTTTGTTGCCACAGTAACACCTGGGAGGAGGGGCAGCGATCTCCGGGAACTGCTAGAACTAGGCCGTTTTCTTCAAACCAGGCAGCCATTCTACCTGCTGCAGGCTTGAGATCTCTGTGCCAGGGCACACTTTGCAGTCTATCGTGATAAGGATAATCCTCATTTTCAGCACTGTGTCTTTATCTTATTAACCGTTCACTTCTATAGACAAATGAGAAGTTTCCTAGCCAGGATTACAATCACAAACCTAACTTTTATCTGGCCCTTTCACTTCGTGAAACAGACATTTAAGCCGTGATTTTTGTTACTCCCATTTTTAGGTATATCACCTTATAATTGTCCCATAACAACTCCTGGGGCCAAAGGATGAACTCGAAAATCTCAAATCCCATTAAGCAGAGGAACGTTATTCACTTTTCATAATGTACATAGAAGATCCATAAATCATTTAGCAAAATCACGGACTTTGCCCCGACCAGCTTCCTTGGGTTGAGAATAGAATTAAAACTGTACATCTTTATAAAACCACATATCCGGGGTTGGGAAATGGCTCAATGATAAAGAACTCTGGCTGGTCTTCCAGAGGACGTGAGTTCAGTTCCCAGCACCCACATGTCTGCTGCCTGCAGCTCCAGTCGCTGAGGATCCAAGAGTGCCAGGCATCAACAGATGCAGAAAAAAATAAATAAAACCACATATCCTTAGATCGACTCAGTAATTTCTAACAGGGTGATTCTAAAGGAAAAAATAGAAGCTCCACAAGGAATTAATGCAGCAGGTGTGGTAGTAATACAATGGAATTTTATGCAGCCAGACTTAATAGGAATTTTGTTTAGTTATGGTTCTGGGGACTGAACCCAGGACCTCACACCTGTAGCACAAAGCTCTACCACCGAGCCACACCCAGGTCCAGAAAAAGGTTATGAACTGATAGCTGGCCAGTCCAGGGTCAGTTTTATGTGTACAGCATTTAGCACAGTTTACATTGGCATTACTGCAATCACAAGACTGTTTCTAAGTTTTTCTCTTAACGCATCCTTTTGTGTGTGGGAGAGAGAGCATTCCAAGGCCAAACCCAGGGCCCGTTTATGAGACAAGCACCCTTCCACTGAGCTGCACCCGAGCCTTCCTCCTATTCTTCCAGTCGTTTCTGTACGTCTTCCTCTGTTAATTTTAAGAATGTCCCAAGACTGCGACAGCACCTTGTCAGCATTACATCATCTCTCTTTTTTTTAAATTTTACTTATTTAAGATTTTATTTATTATGTATGCAGTGTTCTGCCTGCATGTATGCCTGCACACCAGAAGAGGGCACCAGATCTCATTATAGATGGTTGTGAGCCACTTTGTGGTTGCTGGGAAGAGCAGTCAATGCTCTCAACCTCGGAACCATCTCTCCAGCCCACATCATCTCTTCCACAAATATATAAATATTATATGTATTCAGCTGGGCATGGTGGTGCACACCTTTAATCCTAGCAGGTGGATCTCTGAGTTCAAGGCCAGCCTGGTCTACAGATGGAGTTCTAGGACTACACAGAGAAACCCTGTCTCAAAAAAAAAAAAAAAAAAGACCCAAAATAATCTCACAAACAACCAACTTCTGTTTCCACTCCTAAACTCCAGACTCATCCAACTGTGCATCTGATGTCTCCATTTGAGTAACAATTATTAAATCCTGGAGGCTTGGAATGGCTGAAAGCAGAACTCTGGACAATTATCCTTTCCTTCCCGTTTCTCCATCTCTCAGCAGTCGCAAGCATTCTCTTGATGTCAGTACTCAAAGTTCCTGTTCTTTCCTGCTTTCCTTGCTCTCATACACGGGACCGCAGGGCTGGCTCACCCCTCCCCGTCTTCATCATGCTTCCAAAGAGCTCTTCGACGACCTTACCAAGCCCCTTACTCTGCCTACTACGTAGGTAAGCTAATGCTCTTTTGGGAATTTATTTCATTGTGTATGCACCTGTGTTCAAGCACATGTGTAGGTCAGAAGACAGCTTTTGGGAATTTGTCTCTATTTCCGCTGTGGGTGCCAGGGATCCAGCTCAGGCTGTGGCCAAGCTTGCACACAGCAAATGCTTTAGCCACCAGGTCATCTTGCCAACCTGGTAAGTTAATGCTAAAGCACTTGAGAAAATAAAATCATTGTGCTCTAAGGACCCCAAACCACTGGTGCTCTCTCATGTTGGGGAAGCATGTTGGAACAATCACATGTAGAAATTACTATTGAACATAATGCATATAATGAAAAACTCCACTTCGAGGTAAACGTCTAGCAGAAACATCACCACAACTTATGTACTAGATGTGTTTGTACACACACAAACACACAGTTTAAAGATTTATTTTCAGTTGTGTGTGTATGCATAGGAGTACAGGTGCCCACTAAGACCAGAAGAGTAAGACATATCCTGGTGCTGGACTGTGGTGGTTGTAAGCCACCCACTGTAGGTACAAGGAACTGAACTTGAACCCTCTAGAAGAGCAGTAGGCAATCTTATCCACTGAGCCCCTTACAGTGTATGTGTGTGTGTGTATATATATAGCACTATTGGTTAGTAATCCTCAAATACTAGAAAATAGCTTAACTCTCATTCGTAATCAAATGGGTAATTAACAGCATATTTCCAGCACACATCAGCTATACAGCAATACTAATGAATGCCACTACTGTAATGTCATATAGAAGAAATATTATATGCAAAATAATGCGTATGGCTGGGAATCCATTACATAATCAATAAATATGTGGCTAAGTAAACCTCACTGGTAGAAACTGGGCTATACAACTGTGTCAATAAGAAAGAAAATACCGGGGCTGGAGAAATGGCTCAGCGGTTAAGAGCACTGACTGCTCTTCCAGAGGACCCGGGGTTCAATTCCCAGCACCCACATGGCAGCTCACAACTGTCTGAAAATCTATTTCCAGGGGATTTGACACCTTCACACCAATGCACACAAAATAAAAGATAAATAAATCATAAAAATTAAAAAAAATTACCAAACTAATGGTTGTTCTGAAAAGAGGGAGAGGAGTGTTGTGTCTGGAAAAGAATGGTCTTCCAGGGTAGGCTTCTTTCTTAATCACGGTATGTTTTTATATTGGGTATACTGTCGTGGGATATTTGATCACACTGAGAACCCTGAGATTGCGTTATTTAAATAAAATCAACAGTAGGTCAAGAGGCAGAGCAACCTTAGAGAGCAAGTGAAGTCAGGAAGTCGGAGAGAGCCACCGGAAGTAGAAGGGGACATCTGAGGGGACATCGGGTTGGAGGTTTTGTTTTAGGTGGAGGAAGAAGAAAGCTTTCTGGGATGACGACCAAGGAGGAGCAGCTAGGTGCTCCCTCTGCCTCCCTGAGCTAGTGGATTTTCACCCCAGCATCTGATTCCCGAGTCTTTATTGATAAAAGTAAAAAGACAGGGACTTAGTAAAAAAACATTTGCCTTCCTATGTGGAGGCAGCTGAGGCACTGGTAGGTTCAGGTGCAGTCACTGTACCACAGAAAAAGCAACTGTATAGAGCTGGCAAAGATGCATTGATACACACACACACACACACCTTATGCCAGGTATGGTGGTGCATATCTATAATCCAGCACGTAGGAGGAAAGGACAGAAAACTTGTGAGTTCAAAACCGAACTTCATCCACTTTGGGGTAACTATTGCCTACAAGATTAGACCTTCATTCATACCTGACCACTGAGCCTTGGAGATCCACACATTAGAATTCTCCACCTGAATGTTGGCCAGGCAGCTCACCATGTTCAGGACAGAAACCCTGACACCTCTCAACCCTGAGGTCTCCCTGGCTTTCAGGCCTGTAACTAAATATATCCTTGACTCCTCTTCACCCACCCTTCACTGCCATTCAGCTACCAAGCCCTACCTTGCCCTACCGTAGGCCCAGAATCTGCTGCTTTCCACGCCTGGTCTGAGTCACCATGTAACAACCTGCTCCCCGTCTGGTGTCCAGCCACTTTAGTTTGTCTTCACACAGAACAGTGAAACACGTGATTCAAAGCAGACCACTGCCTCCAGGTGTCGCTCAGTAGTGCAGCGCTTACCTAGCAGTGTGGATGGTCCTGGGTTCAATCCTCAGCAAAGCCAAAAACTAAACAAAAACCTTATGTTTTATAAGTGTAAAACTATGGGAATGATAATTAAAAATTTCCACTGCCAAAAAACAGTTATGGGTAATTATGTTGTAAATATAATACCAACACCCCAAAACAGATTTTTCTCAATTTTGTAAAAAGAATTTTTGTGACTAATTCAAAAACGTGTGAATTTATTATTACAATTATGGTGCCAATAACCCAAGTAAGACTGAAAAGCTTCTCAAAATATTAAATATTTATTTTCTAAAATGAACGGATTGTGACTAGCATGGAAATAAACAAGCACAAATATGTAATCGCTACATTTTGAAAATATCTACATGTTTTAGAGACTGCAGAGAAAATAGTTTTCTATAAAACTTTCTGAAGTGTAATATAACATCAAATTTTATTAAATACAACTTGTGCTGAACTTTCTAAGGTTTGCCATAACTTTATTACAATTTAATATACAAATTACACAAGATAAAAATAAGAAAATTCATTTCCTTTATTCTCATGAGTCTCAAAAGCCCTGAAGTTTGCTGAAATAGAAAAATAAAATTAAATTAAATATTATCACTCATTTCTTAATACTTAGTTCCATCAATACATACACAAATTCAAGAGAAAACACTAAACATATGTCTCACATCGAACCTGGTCTCCTAAAAGGATACATCTTTATAAAGGTAGTCTAACCAAAAAAAAGGAAGAATTGCTTCAAGTTCCAAGACCAGCCTGGGCTACACAGTAGGTTGTAAGCCAGCTAAGACTGGTTCAAACAAAAACACAGGAAATGAAAGCTGAGTGTGATAGACACACTCACAAGTCCTGCATTCTGGAGGCTGAGGTAGAACTGCGAGACCAGCCAGCCTGGGTGGATACACACCTAACTGGTAAAATGCTCGCCTAGTATGTCCAAGACCCCGAGGTCAATCTACAGCAGTATAAATTGGGGGAGAAGGGTGTGCTTTAAAAATATGTACTCAGACAGACAAACAAAAAATCCAGGCAGTGGTGGCGCACACTTTTAATGCCAGCTCATGGGAGCAGAGGCAGGCGGATCTCTGTGAGTTTGAGGTCAGACTAGTCTACTAGAGCTAGTTCCAGGACAGACTCCAAAGTTACAGTGAAACCCTGTCTCAAAAAATAAAACAAAGCAAAAAAAATGTACTCAAAAAACTGGGTATGGTGGCACATGCCTTTAATTCCAGCTACATAGTGAGACCCTTTCAAAAAAAAAAAGTGGCTTGGGAGTTGGAGAAATGGCTTAACACACTTGATGCTCTCGTACAGGCCCAGAGTTCAGTTCCCAGCACCACATCGGGCAGCAGCTCACAGAGGCCTCTAACTCCATCCAGGGGACCTGATGCCCTCTTCTGGCACCATGCACCAGGTGACGAGTTCTCCTCTCTGACCTTTGAACCCATCACTACACACATCTAGCGTCTCTCTACTTTGCTGCCAGTTTAGTTTGCCTAGGCTTTGAGAACAGTCCTGTGAAAGACAGGACTGACCTATGGGGGGGGAGTAGGAAGCATCCTCAGTTGTCAGCCTGAGAAGTCACTAAAAAGTTCTTATCAACAGAAACAAACCAAGCAAGAACTTAGCCTGACTACTGTTCAGTCTAAAGCATTCCCAGTAGGCCGCTGCAGACATACAAGGAAAATCTAAACGTACCTAGAAAATATGACTTTCAGCAATAGAAAAGCAAGAAAAAGCCAAGCTCACCTGTCTTCCACGGTCTTACTGGATGGGTAAAAAACTTTGAATGAAAATCCACTTCTTGGAAAAGAGCCCTTTAGAGACAAAAAAAAGTCCATAAGTGACTATTTGACTTGTAAAAAAAAAATCCCTATTTTCAGAATCACATTTCTTAGTCATAATTTAAAATTACAAGATGTGACAATAAAATAGATGTTAGTGTAGTTTTTTTAGAGGTTGCTATAAAATATCACAATCTTAATCTTTTTAAGTTGCCCAGTTTTCTGACAGTAAGTGTCCCTGGAAATGCTCTGGCACGGCTCGGTGTGGAAACAGGAGTACTGTAAAATGTTAACATGCACAGAAGACAGACACTGTGTTCAGGCAGCCTTCCCTGCCTCTCCCCTCATGGCGGGTTGGCAGGATTCCAGAGTGCCCCCAGCACCACTGAGCAGGAACTACAAGCGAATGTCTATGATGAAGCCCTAACATTACCTCAGAGGTTCAAGTTCTTCAGTCTGTCTGAATCCAGTTCAATGCCTGGCCTACAGCAAGCACTCGGTACTGTAAGTAAGTACCAAGATGAAAGAAAAAAATGGGGCTGGAAAGATGGCTCAGCAGGTAAGCACATATACTGCTCTTTGAGAGGATATAAGTTCAATTCCCAGCACCCACTTCAGGTGGCTCAAAACCACTCCAGCTTCAGAAGCATCTGACTCTCCGGTCTCTGTGGTCACCTGCACTCAAATGCACATAGCTACACAGACACGTATAACTTAAAAAATAAGAAGAATCTTTTTTCTTTGTTTTTCGAGACAGGGTTTCTCCATGTAGCTTTGGAGCCTGTCCTGGAACTTGCTCTGTAGACCAGGCTAGCCTCAAACTCACAGATATCCGCCTGCCTCTGCCTCACGAGTGCTGGGATTAAAGTTGTGTGCTGCCACTGCCCCCCAAAAAGCATTTTTTTAAGAGAGAAAAAAGTAATGAAGCAATATCAAAGTCAAGTTTTGAAGCTGACCAAACATATGAATAAGAGAATGATGATGTAGGAGATTGTTCGTACACTTCAAAGAGTGGGAAAATTCTTTGGTAAGTTGTTTTTTAAAATAGTATCAACTACAAAAATGTTCAAAGATATAACAGATATCTAAAGAGAATATCCAGTGAGGAAATAGTCTCATTGTGGAAGGATATTGGAATGGAATAAAGACTGAGGGGCTGGAGAGATGGCACAGCTGTGAAGAGCACTGGCTGCTCTTGCAGAGGAACCAGGTTCAATTCCCAGCACCACATGGCAGCTCACAGTCATCCATAACTCCAATTCTAGGGAATGCAATGCCTTCTTCTGACATCCTCAGCACCAGTCACACACATGGTGTACATGCATACATGGAAGCCAAACATTTATACATAGAAACACACATAGAAATCTTAAGAAAGGAAGGAAGGAAGGAAGGAAGGAAGGAAGGAAGGAAGGAAGGAAGGAAGAAAGAAAGAAAGAGAAAGAAAGAAAGAAAGAAAGAAAGAAAGAAAGAAAGAAAGAAAGAAAGAAAGAAAAAGACTGGGTAAACTAGACCACAAATGTTATGCAATGAAGCCAAGTGAGTTAAATATTCTGATCCTTAGAGAGTGATTCCCAACCAAGGGTCACCGTCCCTCAAGAGATACTCAGACATCTAGGGATACTTATGATTGTCACAAATGAAAGATGTATCGGGATCCAGCGGGATGCAAGGACGCTGCCGAGTTTCCCACACTGCATATGAAACCCCCTACAACCAAGAATTACTTGGTCCAAGATGCAAAAGTGCCAAGGTTGATAAGTCCTGTGTACAGAAAGCCACATAGATGTACATGTGCCAGAAACAACCAGTAAAAGTCATAAAGCTTCTAGATGTGACCCGGATGAAACAAAGAAGTATTCAGATTTAAAACTCCTAAGAATCAGCATGCAGACTAAAACTCACAAGAGGAGCCAGGCGTAGTAGGGTACACTGTTAATCCCAGCACTTGGGAAGCAGAGGCCGGCGGGTCTCTGGGATTAAGGACAGCCTGGTCTATCTAGGGTTCCAGGGCTACACAATGATACTCTGCCTCCAATCAAAACAAACAGCACTAGTAAAGACAATACTTTGTTTGATATAAATTAATTTTATGTGATTATCTGTGTGGTTGGTATATATTTTCCAAGTCCTAAAGCCAATCATATTTCCAGACACTGAAGCAGTTTGAACATTCTAGAGTAGTTTCAAGGCTCTGCATAAAAATGAAATTCAGTGCAGCATAATGTAATCTCATTCATCCAGGCGTTTGGGCAGTTTCTACAAGTCACAATCCTCAAAAGGGAAGCATCAACAAGGTTAAGGAAATGGCTACAGGATCTGAAAGCAGTTCCCAAAGGGGATTGCACAGTGTGTGTGACTTTGCTACACTGAAAGGAAAAATACTTATTTGATTTCATATTTTGGTCTGCTTGTTATTTAAAACCTTAAGCCAGGTGGTGGTGGTGCATAGCTATAGTCCTAGCACTTGAGAGGTAGAGCAGGTGGATCTCTTAGTTCAAGGCCAGCTTGGTCTACAGAGTGAGTTCCAGCACAGCAAGGGCTACACAGAGAAACCTTGTCTCAAAAAAAAAAAAAAGAAAAGCAAAACAAAACAATAAGAGAAAATTAAAATATTTTATAGTTATGTCACATACTAAGAATCTGGAAATCTTCCATGTATACTAAACTATATCAGTGCTGGACTAGTTATATATTTTATCACAATGACGATTTTATGCTCTATATAAATTCACAGAAATGTGCTATATGCAAAGTGGCTCAACAGGGAAAGTCCTTGCTGCTGAGCCTCAGAACCTTGGGTCCATCTTTGGGACCCACGTGGTGGAAGGAGAGAACTGACTCTCACCATGGTACACACACCCCGTCACACACACACACACACACACACACACACATACACACACACACACGGACACGGACACGGACACACAGGTAGTTTTGAAAATTAGTGAGAAGAAAATGCACTATACTCTTGACCATCCACGACATCCTTACAGGGTTCATGCAGAGGCACTCCGTGTTGGTCACAGTGAACGGGTCATACTTGTCTGCGATGACCAGCAGGTCGGGCACAGGGTACACTCTCAGAGTGTAATCATATGCCCAGTAGACGGGGCAGACATAGATGGGGAGCGGAGTCAGATGTCCCTGCGATAAGACCGTCTTGACAAACTACAACAGAACAGAAACAGAGCAGACCAGCTCCTCAGTGCACACAAAAACAGTGGAGCAGGAGTTCAAATAAAGTATTGATTTCCATGAGGATCTAGTTACAAAATTTTTGTAAATTTTACAAAATATGCAAAATTTGTAAAAATTTTACAAAAATATTTAAAAGACAAGGAAGTCTTGAATCACAGAACATCAATAAACATTGCTCTTAGAATGAAATTATCACATATTCTAGGAAAAACAATCTAAGTTTTCATTTAATGTCACTGTTCATAACACCACCCCTCCCTTTAGTCATTGTGAATCAACCGCACATATAAAGCCATTTACCGATTCAACTCATAAAAAAATAAAAAGGTGTAGTAATCCGTACTTCCACCAATTACAAGGCTGAGTATTGCCATGAATTTAAGGCCAGCTTGTGCTACAGCAGGAGACTTTGTCTCAAAAAATCTAAAATAGGGACTGGAGAGATGGCTCAGAGGTTAAGAGCATTGCCTGTTCTTCCAAAGGTCATGAGTTCAATTCCCAGCAACCACATGAGGTCTGGTGCCCCCTTCTGGCCTGCAGGCATACACACAGACAGAATATTTGTATACATAATAAATAAAATATTTTTTTAAAAAATCTAAAATAATAATAACTAATAATAACAATTTGATACTGCTGGACATGATAATGTAGCTATGCCAGCTACAGAGGAGGTTAAGAGGATTATTTGAGCCTATGAGTTTAGGCCAGCCTGGGTAACTCAGTAAGACCCATCTCTTAAAAAAAAGAAAAATCACGATTGTAACAATTTTGCGGGGCTGTAGGATTGCTCAGTGTACCGGTACAGGGCTTGCCACCCACAGTGCAAGCCCGGTGACTTGAGCTGGGTGCACAGCCCACGCAAAGGCAGAAAGAGAACTGACTTTGGAAAGCTGATCTCTGGCCGCCACATGTGTGCCATGACATGTGCCTACCCCTTTCCACCCCTGCCACACACACACAAGTAAAAATAACACCTTCATAGTGTAAGTCACGAGTCAGTAGCCAGTCAGCCTGGGCTACCGGTAAGACAAAAAACACTTTTTATAACAAAGAATAAAAATGATTTCCTTCCATACCTCTCAGTGACAACTGTATACCTAGGAACTATGAATTCACAAGATAAGCACTCATAGTCTCCTGATGTGGACATACCATATGAAACACATAATAAACACGAGAAATATAAACATCTTTAAATTTTTTTTTTATGTGCATTGGTGTTTTGTCTGTGTGAGGATGTCAGGTCCCTGGAACTGGAGTTACAGACAGTTGTGAGCCACCATGTGGGTGCTGGGAATCGAACCCGGATCCTCTGGGAAAAAGTCAGTGCGCTCAACCACTGAGTCATCTCTCCAGCCCCAAATAATACACATATGATGAAGTAAATCTAAGTGCTAGGGGAAAGCCCTGGCTTGCTCTGCCCTCCACCTGTCTCAAGGTTCTCAGTGGAAAGCCACGGCACTGACATAAGAACAGAACTCCATTACTGTACGCAAAAAACAAGTAGCTTAACGAAGTTCATAAAATGCAACATTTAAAATAGTTCAATAAGTCAGAAAGTGGTGGTGCATGCCTTTAATTCCAGCTCTCAGGAGGCAAAGGCAGACAGATCTCTGTGAGTTCGAGGCCAGCCTGGTCTACATAGTGAACTCCAGGACAGCCAGGGCTACAAAAAGAAACTGTCTTAAAAACAAAACAAAACAAAAAACAAAAACAAACAAAATAGTTTAATAAAACAAAAAACCTACAAAAGCCGAAGAGATGGTTCAGTGGTTAAGCATCATGAGGACCCAAGTTCAGATGCCAGTACCATGTCAGATTGTTTGGCAGCACCTGTAACTGCTCCAAGGGACCCAGTGCCCTCTCCTGGTTTCCATGGGCACTGGCACATGCATGCGAATATATGCTTTAAAAGATATCACACATAAATGACGAAACTAAAAAGTAAATCTTTTAAAACAAGACCAAGGGCTGGAGTACTGACTCGGTGGTTAGGAGCACCGTGGCTCCTGCACAGGACCGGGGTTCGATTCCCAGCGCCCACATGTAGGCTCACAGCCCTCTGTAACTACAGTCTCAAGGGATCCAGTGCCCTCTCCACAGGCATCAGGCACAACCACGGCTCAATACACAACATGCAGGTAAAACACTCATATACACAAATTAATAAATAAATATAAAACAAAAGGTAGTTTGTCAAGGAGACTACTTACATGAGTAGGAATATCCAAATTGCTACTAGGAAAACGGACACAGTTTCTACACATTTTATTTACTAAGTCTTCACGGAAGATAATAATTTCTTGTGTACAATACTGAATTCTGAAATAAAGCAGCAGTTGAATATTTGACTTCCTCAGGAAAATAATAATTTTAAGTCTTTTAATATCAATATCATCCAGGCCCCGCCCCCTCTCTCTCTGAATACGTGTGTGTGCGTGTGTCTATACACAGCGCTAGGGTTTGAACCAAGCCCTTACATTTCCCACAAAAGCACTCTACCACTGAGATGTGCTCCCAGCCCTTTACTAAGCTCTTAATTTGTGCCCAACGCTATGCACAAGGTAAGTGAGAAGAACAGAAGAAAAAGGTTATGAGTCTTCTCTACTTGACATTCTCACGGGGGAAGAGGGCAGAGAAATTAAAGACACGACACTGATGTATGCTGGAAAGGAGAGAAAGGCAAAGCGGAATCGTACTTGGGGAGGAAACGGTTTAGAAGGCTGGGGACTAAGACAGAGTTAAAGTGGGGAAGGCTCATCAGGCAGTGACCTAAGACCTCTGGAAGAAGGGCACTGTGAGCAGGGGAAGAGGCATAACCTGGCACCTAAGACTGGGGTGTGCTCGCAGGCTAGGGATGCAGAGGCTGGAGGGAAGGAAGTAACTGGGAGAGGAAATTTAAGTGGGAACGGCATGTCATGCAGGGAGGACACTGCATGGATGCGGACTGTTGCCAATGGCATGAGAGACCCCATCTTTCAACACAGGGACGACATGATAGGGTTTCTTGTGTTAAAAACAGACTACACGGGGGAAGAGTAGAAACCAGAGACCAGTGTAGAGGTTATTGATCCAGATTAGAGAAGACGGTGGGTCACAGAGGTCAAAGGTGAACCGTGAAGCAGATAGGACTACCTCAAAAATTGTGTGTAAGGGAAACGTCAATGGTTATGGCTCAAGAATAGGTGAGAGACGGCAGCTCGGGGCAGGATGGGGCTGTAATTTATCTACTGGACGTCCAGAGAGAGATTTCGGTGGTTATCTGGGCCCACAAGCATGGGGTTCATGAGACAGCTAGATGCACTGTCGGAACCCAGAGGCCATAAATTCACTATCAGTTAAGGATTTGAATAAAGTTAAAATACTTTTCAAACCTTGAGAACCCCAAAATCGAATTTTTTTTTTTTAGATTTACTCAGATTTCAGAAATAAATTAGAAGAATAATTGTTAAATAGAACAAAAGAAGTTCAACACAAAACCCTGCTACTGACCTGCACGGGTTAGTGGTGAACACTGAAAACGGCACCCTTTCTCTGAACTCCTTCGTGATACTCTCGGCAAGCGGAGGCCTGGGAAGACAACGTGACAGAGGATGGGTTTACAAAGTTTACACAATTCTCTTGACTGCCAAAAAAGAGAAAAAAAGTGTGAACAAAGATTACCTTGGCAAGATGGAACCAAATCCAGGGTCCTCAGGACCGGGAACAAACACGAAACGGCTACTGCAGGGAAGCGCAACATCAGCCATTAGAAATAACGCGAGCGACACTGCCCCAAGTCACTGCCTGCAGTGGACTGCAGACGCCTTGCTGGACAGTCCTGGCTAGCCTTGCCTCAGTCTTCCCAGTACAGGGATGCCATTATGCCTACCGACAATTATTCTTTATTTCATGCATTTTAATAAACTGCTAAAAGCCTCCAGTGCAAACTATGTGATACTAGTGTGGTGACCAAGTGTTCTGCATTCGCACCGTCCAGTCACTGAGTATGCTTTTGCTGTGGCTAGTGTGGCTGATGGACTGGATCTCATTTAATTTTACACGTGTGTGTACGTTTTACATGTAAACGCATGCATGTATGGGCCATAAGTATATACGGGCTAATGTCTGCTATGGCACACATGTAGAATTCAGAGGACGTCTTATGGGAGTTGGTTTTCTCCGTTATGGGTCTCAGGAGCTGAACAGTTACTAGGTTTGGCAAGCACCTCTACCCATCTTGCTAGCCCAGTTTATCTTCAGAGAGGCACTTGAGTGTAGTGCAAATTCTTGTTCTTCGTAAAAACCCAGAGTCAGATATTAGGGGGTGAAAGCTGAGAAAGAAGCAAAGCAGTCCGGCACTAGACAGACTTTTTACCTCTACTGCATCCTCAGACCAAATAGGCAATCCTGTCCTCAGACTGCTTCCTCAGACCGCGTCCTCAGACAGACTGCGTCCTCAGACAGACAGACTGCGTCCTCAGACAGACTGCGTCCTCAGACAGACTGCGTCCTCAGACAGACAGACTGCGTCCTCAGACAGACAGACTGCGTCCTCAGACGGCTGCGTCCTCAGACAACGTCCTCAGACAGACTGTCCTCAGACAGACTGCGTCCTCAGACAGACCGACTGCGTCCTCAGACAGACTGCATCCTCAGACAAACTGCGTCCTCAAACTGCATCTGAGCTCCTGTCTCCTCCCGCTTTATATATTCCCTCTCCGACCAGCGACATCGCTCCTGTCTCCATCACCCCCCACATACCCCCTCAGTGCTGGGATTAAAGGTGTGAGTCACCACTGCCTGCCTTTGCTTCTCTTTGAGACTGGATCAATCTAGTGTAGCCCAGGGTGGCCTTGAACTCACAGAGATTGCGACCTGGGATTAAAGGTGTGAGCCACTACTCCCTGGCCTCTAGTGGCTTACTTCTGCACTCTATCTTCAGGTAAGCTTTATGTGTTGGAACACAAACAATATCACCGCACTTGAGAGCGCTGACGATCACACTAAGGTCCAGCTCCGAACAAGCAGCATCACCACAACCTACAATGCACTTGCTGCTCTCCCGCCTAAGTTTTGTTTCACCATAAATCCAGAGATCAGTGTAACAAACATGATGATGTGAGAATTTTAACCCGGGATCTTTTAATACTCTCAACTATTCCTCTTTCTACAGGCAATTTCTTTATATCATTGATAAAAACTTCATTATTCAAGTTTTTTAAAAAAACAAAACTATTTTGGGTTAAAAAAAAAAAAAAAAAGGTAGCCAGAGATCTTTACCTTTGGTGGATACTTGGGTATTCACATATTATGTCTGCCAAAGACTTTAGGGAGTCTAAAAAATTTTAAAGATATTTAATTTGTATATTTCCATAAAGTTACAGTTAATTAAATACAACTATATATCTCCTGAACAAAATTAAAATATTATATACAATATTTATATAATATATAAAATTGTATATTTTATATATATATAAAATTTCTCTGTGAAGCCCTGGCTGTCCTGGAACTCACGCTGTAGACCAGGCTGGCCTTGAACTCACAGAGACGAGTCTGCCTTCACTCCTGAGTTCTGGTATTAAAGGTGTACACCACCATCTTAGAAACACTCTTATGAACAAGCGAGATCCTCAATACCTTTCAAAGCCTGAACTTGATTTTTTCCATATGGTGCAGATGAAAAGTTGCCGCACAGAATGAAGCAGGTTGGAGGTGCCGGTGAATAACCTAGCGGATAAAGAACATAGTTTTTCATGGCAGAAAATTTTGCTTTATGGATTTAATTATTTTTGAGACAGGATCTCACTATATAGCTAGGCTGCAATTCACAGAGATCCGCCTGCCTCCGCCTTCCAAGAAATAGGATTAAGGGCGTGTGTCACCGCATCTGGCTGGCTATAACTGTGAAAGTTTGGGCTGCTTCTGTTTTCCTTTTAAAAGAAGTTTGCCTACGCTGCCCAGACTAATCTCTAATCATGGCTCACTCCCCACCTCAGGCTCCCACGCCACAGGGCCCACAGATGCACTCTGCCACAACAGAATAGCAACCATTTAGCTTTAGGACACAATCCCTCAGCACAGTTTGGGAGGGAATAGAAATAACATGTACCGGAGAACATGACGTGAAGCTTCTCCAACACTTGCACTTGGTCCAACCAAACGTCAGACACAAACACAAACATGGCGTCCTTGTTCTCCTCCTCCAGCTGTCTCAGCTTGGCAGACGTCTTCACTGACGCATTAGAGGGCCCTCCAAAAAAATTAATATTTCCATAGTACGCCCTATATAATTATAACACAATTATCACCTATACCATGTCTGTTCACTGAGAAAGTAAAACAGTACCAGACACACAATCAACCATCACAGTATTCCAGAGATGAAGTATTTTGCCTGCAAACTATTTAAAACATACACGTACACACGAAAACAGGCTATAACAGGAATATTCAGTATGAACGCTTCCAAAGCTGTCCTCAGAGCACAGCAGCCACCTCCACTTTAATCAGATCGGCTGCGATTATCCACAAAACTGTCAAGAGACCATCAACAAGGTCAGGTCTACTGGCGGTCTTCACAGCAGGGGGTGGGGCCAGGAAACAGACTCTCCCTGGAGCTTCCAGACACTGCTCACTGCTGTATGTAATCCAGCCCGGTTACAGTCTTAGGGGGTACAGCGCACACGGGAGGCGTAAAGTTAACTTGGGAGAGCGGGAAGAATGGACTCTATCTGTTCAAAAAGGGGAAGTCATCGTCCATGCTGGGTGAGACTTTTCAATAGGTCACCCACGATCCTGTAAGTGCAACATTGTTGCATTCCCATTGTTGCACTGGGCAGCTGCGAGCACAGCTGTTAGGCTGGCCTGCCACAGCTGCCCTATCAAGTCTCCTCAGGAAAGGTTAAAACAACAGCACATGTCAGTGCCAAGGGAGCAGCTGAAGTCTCCCCTCAGCTGCCCCCCCCCCTAGCTGGCCCCAGGCTGAGGTCCTTGCCCTACCCCTTCTATCAGAAACAAGAGGGCAGTGTTACCGTCTACCTTGGCTTCACCAATGCCTGCCAACTCATTTTGTTTCATTGCTCTGTGCACCATGGGGCCACACACTGCACACTGACAGACATGTGGACTAGACTCCATCAATAAGGAGAATTATTTATGTAGATAATTTATATAGGTAATTTATATACCTACATAAATAATAACACAAGGTATGGGTTCATTAAATTCATTTTCTTTTTATGCCTTTATATTCTATTTTTCCTTTATTTTCACTTTAAAAATTTTTATTTGAGTATTTGTGAGTGTGTGTGTGTGTGTGTGTGTGTGTGTGAGAGAGAGAGAGAGAGAGAGAGAGAGAATGTATGCCACATGAGAGTGTACCTGTGGAGACCTAAAGAAGCCATGGGATCTCCTAGACTAAGACAGGTAAGTTTCTATTGCTTGTTCTGTTTCAGCACAAAGCCTGACGCCTTGTAGTGGCTGAGATAAACTAGTTACGTCCCCCACTGCCAGTATATACACCCCTGCGGCACAGAAATCAAGTGCTTGAATACCTTGTGGTACTAGAGGGCTCAGTGGGTGGAAATCCAAAGGCATTGACATGAAACACTTGATCTTCAAACCAACCTAAAAAAAAAACAAGAAAATAAACGAGTAACAACTCACTTTTATCTGTTCAGTAACCTTTTTCTAAAAAGACAAATCCATCCCACATAAAGCAATGAATTAGACTACAGAAGTCACCGATCTTACTGAGATATCCAACTCTAGAGCCACAGACAGTCCAAATTTTACAAGGGAAACTACATTAAACAAGCACACCCCATCTCAACAAGGGTGGAGTGGGGTGCGGGGGGATTCGGAGCACACGCTGGAGTGCAGAGAGAACAGCCGCCTCAGTGAGACATGATTGTGTGACTGTATGAAGTTCAAAGGTTTTTCAGTTTTACAAGCTGTGACTCACGCACCACACAGCCTGCACATGGGTGGTTTCCAGTACACACGGTTGTGCAGTCCCTCCGCTGTCTAATCTCAAGGCCTTTCCCTCAGGCCAGAAAGCTTTCTAATGGCCGGTTTAAAAGTCACCTGCTCATCATGCCGAGGTCACACGCTCACCGTGACTGCCGGCTGGAATTCTATCATTAGGGGTCATCCTCAAGCGGAAGTTTTACGGTCCAGCAGGGCACGGAAAGGACGCATGCGCTTACCTTCAGCCAGGACAAAGCACGCCTCAGTGTATAAGCCGCTGTGGAACTGGTGCAGGGCAGCTGAGGAAGTTCACGACTGTGCTGGGGACAGGAGTGATGCCAACATACAGCCTGAGCCCCAAGGCTCAGTTAGCTTTGCTGGGTTGTTTTAGATTTCTCTTAGGGGTTGTTCTGGTGCTACGGGGTGGAGGGTGTGGGGGCGGGGGAGGTCTTGTTTGTCTGTTGCAAGGGAAGGTTGAGACATGTAACCGGACTGGCCTCAAAGCCCCTAAAATTCAGTTTTCCGAGTGTTAGGATTATAAGTGGGCACCCATGCCTGGCCCTGAAAAGAGTTTTAAATAATAAGCTGCAGGAAGGCAAGATGGCTCAGCAGGTAAAGACACACACTGGCAAGACTGAGTTCAACACTCAACACCCGCGTGGTAGGAGAACAAATCCCTGCTAGCTGTCCTGTGACATCCACATACATACCATGATATACATGGATACACATTACACACACACACCCCCAAATGTAATTTTCAATTAAATAATAATAACAAATTAAAAACTCCACACCGATGTATAAGTCATTCTCGGCATGCTATAAATTTCTTAAGGGCGGGGCTGGGAAGATGGCTCAGAGGTTAAGAGCACTGCTTGCTCTTCCAAAGGTCCTGAGTTCAATTCCCAGCAACCACATGATGACTCACAACCATCTGTAATGAGGTCTGATGCCCTCTTCTGGCCTGCAGGCATACACACAGACAGAATAGTGTATACATAATAAATAAAAAAAATTCTTAAGGGATTTTAATCTCTAAGAGTATGTCTACATTCCCATGTTTCCAGCACATAGAAGTCACAGTGGAAACCCAAAGACAAGTTGAAGAACGATACAAAAGCAATTTCCCCAGTTCACGTAACTTAATAATTGCATTTACTTATGTATTTAATGTGTTTGTGGTGCTACGCAGGTGCTCTCCCAAGGAGGTAAACTCACAGGCCTCTAGCAGAGTTTTCTTTTTAAATTTTCAAAAACGTATTACTTTATTCTGTATTATATGCTTGGGAGTTTTGCCTGCATGCATGTCTCTACATCATATGCATGCTGTTGCCTGAGGAGACCAGAACAGGGCGGCAGATCCTTTGGAACTGGAGTTGCAGATGGTTGTGCACTGACATGTGGGTGCTGGTTACTTAATCCAGATCCTACAGTGGCAGATGCTCTTAACCACTGAACCTTCTCATTAGCCCCGAGTTTTCTTTCTTTTTTGAAACAGGGTCTCACTATGTAGCCCTGGCTGGCCTGAAGCTCACTATATAAACCTTAAACTCACAGAGATTGGCCTGCCTCTATCTCCAGAGAGCTGGGATCCAAGGCACGTGCCACCTCACCCGACTCAGAATTTCTGTTTTGGTTTTTTAAGACAGGGTTTCTCTGTGTAGCTCTGGTTGTCCTGGAACTCGCTCTGTAGACCTGGCTGGCCTCAAACTCACAGAGATCCACCTCTGCCTCTGCCTTCCAAGTGATGGGGTTAAAGGAGTGCATCACCAAAATGGTCAGAACTTTTTTCTTTAAGGATATCGCTTTACTAAGATCCAGCTGTACTGTCCCAGTAGGATCTTCCAGGAAAAACTTCCCCTGAAACAGAATGAAACGAAACAGACTCACACTGGTGTAAAATTGAATACGATAGCATATGAGAGAGAGAGAGAGAGAGAGAGAGAGAGAGAGAGAGAGAGAGAGAG